GTTGGGGTGCCTTCCAGTCACGAAGAGAGCAAGGTGGATAGGGAGGTTGTGGCCCCGCCCCCTGTCACACACAGAGCCGCAGGGTGATCAGGGGATTTGGGCACTGCCCCCTGTCACATTGATCCCGGTGCCGGGAGGCCTCTCAGCTCTGCTGATCCTGGTGCTGGGAGGCATATTACCCTTTTACTATATAGGATAGAGGCCTGGTGCACAGGTGGGGGCAGGCTGGTTTGTCCTAAAGGGTGTCCTGGATCAGGGTGGCGGTCCCCACTGGGGTGCCTGGCCAGCCTGGATGAGGGGATGATGGCTGTTTGCAGCTGGTCACACCCTCTTCAGGGTGGGGGTCTCCACTGGAGTGCCTGGCTAGTCTGGGTGAGGGGCTGAGGGCTGTTTTCAGGCTGCCGGGTGACTGAAACTCCCAACCGCTCCTTTTTTTCTTTTTTTTTTATTCTGGGCCAGCTTTAGCTCTGAGGGTTGGCTCCAGCTCTTAGGCCTCGGCTGCTGAAAGCAGGTATCTGGTTTGTTTGGGTTCTATAATCAAAACACTGTTTCAACTCCAGCTGTGAGATCCCGGCTGGCTGAAAGCAGGTTTCTGGGGTTTTGTTTAGCTTCTATATTTGTAACAATGTTTCAAACTGCAAGCTCAGATGCTGGCAGTGGCAGGCGGGGAACCTTGGCTTCCTCCGTCACTGAAGCAAGCAAGCCTCCTGTTCGCTTCAAGCTGCATGGCTGCCGGCCACCATCTTGGCTGGCAGTTAATTTGCATATCTCCCTGATTAACCAATGGGAAGGGTAGCGGAGGTAGGGCTAATTACCATTTTTCTCTTTTATTAGATAGGATAGATAGATAGATAGATAGATAGATAGATAGATAGATAGATGTTTCTTCTTATACCTACCTACATATGATAAAGTTTATTTCTGATTTAGGCATAATCAGAGATTAACAATAACAACAGCTAAAAATAAGTAGAATAATTATGACAACATGCTGTGATATAAGTTATGTGAATGTGGTCTCTCTCTAAATATCTTATTGTATTGTACTCACCATTCATAATTTTCTTTCTTCTCAATTTCATGAATAGAAGATTTGTCTTACCACAGACCTTAGCAACCTCAGCATTCCTTTTGAAGCCTACAGCTTTCACCTTTTCACTGTGATATTGCAACAGTGAATCTGATAACCTACTGACTAATGGGCAGGGAGCATATACAATGTGGAGATGCTAAAAAAAATGGGTCATTTATGTCCCAGACAGGATGGAGCAAGACTGTGGGACTGTGGGAATGGAAACCACAGAAAGCAAAACCATGGATAAGGAGGGACTACTGTATTATAAAGGTAAAGAGGGGTATTATGTAAAATATGTGGAGCAATAAACCAGAAAGACATAGCACCCCAAAGTATGTACCCACCTGAGATATTGTGGTTTATAAAAGAAATATATATTTGGTCTTCATCCAGCACAGAGCTCCTAAAACCCTTTGAATTTCATGTGATGCTAGTGATAAAGGTGTCTTTTGTTGGGTGAATGAGGTGACTTTGGACTGGACCTTAGGATTGTGGCTAGTTCCAGGAGAACCAACTACCTGATGAGACGGCTGGCACGTTCAGTCCACCAGCTTCTAGGGAGCAGTTACACAGTTTCGGCTCGGTGTGAGATCCTCAGCTGGTCTTCCTCAGATTTAAGGGATGGGAGGGACTAGAGTGGCCCAGCTATTGCACAGGCAGTCCTTGTTTGTTGATCCTATAGTTGTTCTAGAGTTACCTCTGCTCCTGGACCCTTTGAGGAAAATCATATTAATGTTTTTAAATTAATTAAACAAGGAAGTCATTAGACTGAGGTGGTTCTAAAGACACAGCCGCCTCTACCAGTATAAGCAAACCTAAATCAAAGCCTGTAAATGCCTTGAGATTATAACATGGAAACCCAAGAGCAACCACTTACAAATAAGCAACGAGGCTTTAGGCTATTGTCAATCAATAATTTCCTTACTTTGCTCCTGCCTTTTCTGTATAAAAGTCTCTGCCCCAGCACCTATCCGTGGAGCGCTCCTCACTTCTTCTGGGTTTGGGGCAGCCCAATTTGAGTCAATTGTTGCTCAAATAAACTCTTACAATTTTTAATATCTTCAACAGTTCATGTAATTTCTTTTCCCCAAATTTAAAGCCTATATGATAAATAGCAATTTTCCTATTTCTGGAGACATAAACCACATAAGCTTTTCTAAAACTTGATGTGTATTGTTGAAAGTACTACTGATGCCCCAAATCTCCCCCCTCCCTGCTCACCTCCTCCCAGCACCCCCTCCCCAGCCTTCACCACATTGTTGTCTGTGACCATGGGCTACACGTATGTTCTTTGGTTAATCCAAAATCCATAAAGAACACTTAAAACTCATAATAAGAAAATGAAAAACATGATTAAAAATGGACAAGAGATCTGAACAGACACCTCCCTGGAAAAGATATACAGATGGAAAGTAAGCATATAAAAAGACTCTCCACATCACAAAAATGTCACCAGGAAAATGCCAATGAAAACAACACTGAGATACCAATGCACACAGAAGTCTAATTGACTCTCTAAAGAGGCCATTCAGAAATGAGATGTATGATCTAGGGATTTTCTTGATTGCAGATTTTAAGTTAGATGCCATAATGGGCTGGTTTGCCAGGTCCGGGAGAGATGGGAATGTGGCTTTATGAGAGGGTATAGAGAGGAAAATACATGTGATAAAAATAACCTGGCAGTTTGGGTGTTATGCATTAAAGACATGTTGGTCTGAGATCTGATGGACTCTTTTTCTTTTCTTTTCTTTTCTTTTCTTTTCTTTTTCAATTAAAGTTTACAGTCAATGTTATTTCATTTTAGTTTCAAGTGTACAGCATAGAGATTAGAATCCTATCTAACAAATAGAAACATGGTAATTAACTGTACCTTTGCTACCCTTCCCATTGGCTAATCAGGCGATATACAAATTAACTGCCAACCAAGATGGCGGCCGGCAACCAGGCAGCTGAAGTGAACAGGAGGCTTGCTTGCTCCAGTGACGGAGGAAGCCAAGGTTCCCCGCCTGCCGCTGCCAGCCTCTGAGCTTGCACTCTAAGAAACATTGTTGCAAATATAGAAGTTAAACAAAATCCAGAAACCTGCTTTCAGCCGACAGAGCTGGAGCGAGCAGGACTGAAACAATGTTGCAATTATAGAACCCAAACAAACCCTAGATTCCTGCTTTCAGCAGCCGAGGCCTCAAGCTGGAGCCAGCATCAGAGCTAAAGCCAGCTCTACGCTCCAGTGACAGCCGTAGAAGGTAAATAAATTCCAAAATAAGAGAAAAAGAAAAAAGGAGAGGTTGGGAGCTTCAGTCACCCACCAGCCTGAAAACGGCCCTCAGCCGCTCACCCAGACTGGCCAGGCACCCCAGTGGGGACCCCCACCCTGAAGGGTGTGTGACCAGCTACAAACAGCCATCATCCCCTCATCCAGGCTGGCCAGGCCCCCAGTGGGGATCCCCACCCTGAAGGGGGTGTGACCAGCTCAAACAGCCATCATCCCCTCATCCAGGCTGGCCAGGCACCCAAGCGGGACCCCCACCCTGATACAGGACACCCTTCAGGGCAAACCAGCCAGCCCCCACCCATGCACCAGGCCTCTATCCTATATAGTAAAAGGGTAATATGCCTCCCAGCACCGGGATCAGCAGAGCCATGAGGCCTCCCAAACCCGGGATCAGCGGAGCTGCGAGGCCTCTCGGCACCGGGATCAGTGGAGCCACAAGGCCTCCTAGCACCGGGATCAGCTGAGCAGCAAGGCCTTGCTGCCCCGGTGTCAAGCAGAGCCATGAGGCCTCCCAGCACTGGGATCAGTGGAGCCGCGAGACCTCCTGGCCTGGAATCAGCGGAGCTGTGAGGCCTCCTGGCCCCTGGAGCAGGGTGACAGGGGTAGCGCCCAAACCCCCTGATCGCCCTTCGGCTCTGTGTGTGACAGGGAGCGGGGCCACAACCTTCCTATCCTCCCTGCTCTGTTCGTGACAGGGGAAGGCGCCCCAACCCCCTGATCGGCCCTGCTCTGTGCCTGATAGGGGGGAGCTCCCCAACCCCCTGATCGGCCCTGCTCTGTGTGTGACATGGTGTGGCGCCCCCCCCCCATGGCCCCTGCTCTGTGTGTGACTGGGTGTGGCGCCCCAACCCCCCCATGACCCCTGCTCTGTGTGTGATGGGGTAGAGCCGCAACCTCCCCATCGGCCCTGCCCTGAGTGTGACAGCAGGAGCGCCCCAACCCCCTGATCAGCCCTGTTCTGTGGGTGACAGGGGGTGGCGCCCCAACCCCCTGATCCGCCCTGCTCTGTGTGTGACAAGGGTCGGTGCCCCAATTGCCCTATTGGCCCTACTCTGTGTGTGACGGGGGGAGCTCCCCAACTGCCTGATCTGCGCTGCTCTGTGCGTGACAGGGAACGGAGCCCCAACCCCCTGATGGGCCAGCTCTGTATGTGACAGGGGTGGCACCACAACCCCCTGATCCGCCCTGCTCTGTGCATGACAGGGGGTGGCGCCCCATTTCCCCAATCGGCCCTGCTCTGAGCCCGACCAGGGGCTGCACCTAGGGATTGGGCCTGCCCTCTGCCACCCGGGAGCGGGCCTAAGCCAGCAGGGCGTTATCTCCCGAGGGGTCCCAGACTGTGAGCGGACACAAGTGGGGTTGAGGGATACCCCCCTCCCCCGCTGCCAGTGCACAAATATTTGTGCACCGGGCCTCTAGTATATATATATTTGCTCAACTGAATTGTGAACCAGTTAAGATGGTTCTAAATATACGGGTGTCTGTGTGTGGGTATTATGTGAGTCCAAATCCAGTTGTAATTAGGGATTTCATTCTTTCTGGTCAATGATCACAAATCTTTCTCTTTTTTTTCTTCTTTTTTTTTTAATAAATCTTTATTGATGAAAGCATCACATAGTTCCTTGGCCGTCCCCAACCCCTCCCTCCCTCATGTCACTCCTGAGATGAATCCTGGTCATCGGGATCAGCTGCAGGGAGAGGAACACCATCCCCTGGACCCAATGGTGGTTCAGTCACAGAACAGTTGGGATCATTCTCAGGTGCTGCTTCTCTTGAATGCTGAGGTGACATGGCCTCTCCCCCAGTGTCTTGACCGGAGCTCTACAAGCTCCAAGAGCATCTGCCTCACGTCTTCACTGCAGGGCACGTCCAGGGCGACGTTTTCAGTCCTCTGGATAACTTCGTCCATGTCCGTCCTTCCTCTTCCCTTCCAGGCATCTTCCAAGGCGGGCCCTGTCAGCTTCAGGAATTCTACTGCACAAATTAAATTATCGACCACAGGGTGAGAAAGGAGGGCATCCAACAACCCCCGAAGAGCAACTACTCGAACACCTGTATTTGCCCCTTCGATCTCCAGCGGAAGATAAAATTCTCCCAGAAAGAGCACGAATTCATGGAATTGTTTCCGAGCTGCTTCATCCCCCTTGGCGGCTTGATATCTAGGCTCATAATCAGTCTGACATCTTTGAAGGAGCACTTGGCGGAAGCTGCCCCTCTGTGAGCGAACGTTCAGGTGACGGGACAGGTAATCACACAGGCGAGCTCCCACGCAGCAGAGCTTGGGCACGGACGTGGCCTGTTGATAGATGAGGTCCACAGGTTCTTGCAAAGCCTTGTCCGTGGTGACCCGGCCACTCAGGGTCTCGGCAAACTGCTCCATGTCAGTTTCACAACTGCCAGGCTGCTCTGTCAGATGGTCCAAGAAATCCCAAACCAATACGGACAGAGGGAGACCATCCTCGCGGGGTCCTTGATGGCTGCTCAACCGTTTCCTCTGGTCAAAGCACAGCTCAGGGACCTTGTATTCCGTCTGAATCTCCAAGGACAGGGCCACCGATGTCTCCAGCTGCACAGCCTGGCTCCAGATCAGGGCGCCCTTCACGCCCTGCTGCACCTTCTGGGCGGAGCCCTGGCATCGCTCCTCCAGCTCCGGGATGTGGCTCTGGAGCTGGCGGCTCTGCTGCCCCAGGTGGGCCTCACTGTCCCTCAGTCTCTGCAGAGTGCGCTCTTTTTCGCTCTCCAGGCTCCACAGGTACGACCTCTCCTCCTCCCTCAGGAAGCTGCGCAGCTTCTGGAAGTCCGCCTGGATTTTCTGTCCCTGAGCCTCTACCTTCTCCTCCCACTCGGCTATCTGCTTCGCAGTGAAGGCTCTCTGGTTCGTGCATTCCTCTTCCTGTCGCCTCGGTTTCCTCACTGCCTCCTGGAGCTTTTCTCTGTACCCAGCGCCCGCGTCCTCCACGAGCGCTGTATTGTGGCCCTTGTGCCGACCATGGCGCTCGCAGCCCGAGCAGATGAGCTGGCCTTCGTCCTCGCAGAAGAGGTGCAGCTGCTCCCCGTGCTCCTAGCAGGACAGCTCCTGCTCCTGCTTCCAGAGGGTGCCCAGCTGCCAGTTGGGCCACAGGCTGCCTCTCTGGAAGGGAGAAGCGCACTGGGGGCAGGAGAAGGTCTCCCTGTGTTGCTGTCTCCGTTGGGGGGATGGCGGGCCCATTAAGCGCAGGAGGCAGGCCCGGCAGTAGCTGTGGCTGCAGCTGATGATCACGGGCTCCGTCACCAGGTGCAGGCAGATGGAGCAGATGGTATCTTCCTGCACCTTCTTGTGGTGGAGGCCGAAGGCATGCCTCTGCCAAAAGCTGCAATTCCGGACCCAGAGGCTTCCACAGCAGTGGTGGCGCACCCACCCTGCGCTGTCTATGTGTTGGGGTCCAGCCCCAGCAGGCCCAGGGGTTCCCAAAGGTGTGGACAGAGTCCTCGAAGAAGGAATGACACGAAGACAGCGTTCAGTTGATCAGCAGCCTAGCCAGGATCTCCAGCCAAGTTCTGTCCCCAGGTTCTGTGTTTTATTGTCTTCTTACATCTGTATTTATATCAGTTGATTTTAATCCTGTCAATGTCTATGCCAAAGGTTAGGGCGTTTCTTATCTCCATTCCAGGGAGTAAAGATTATGTAGCTCTCTATTCTCTCCCTAACCTCAGGGGACAATCCCCATTGGGGGTGGGGGGAGGTTCGTGCAGAACAACCTTTCTCGGAGAGATGACCTTGGTTAAAACACATAGCGCCAAGAGGGTGAGCAAACATATTAAGAACAGTATGCCAGGAGAGAAACCAAGATGGCGGCATAGGTAAACACCAGAGATTGCTGTCTTGCACAACCACTTCAAAAATACAACTAAAAGATGGAACGGACATCATCCAGAACCACAGGAAGGCTGGCTGGGTGGAAATTCTACAACTAGAAGGAGAGAGAAAAGCATACCGAGACTCAGAGGAGGTGCTTGCGGAAGTAAAATACAAAGGTGCGGAGGTGCATGTGGAGAGGCCTGGCTGCTGAGGACATGGTTGTCTTTTTCAATCGGGAGGGAGTCTCAAGCTCTGAGCTCCAGTTCCTGGCGAGTCTCTGGGGACCGAGACACATACAGGAGAAATGGGACTGTCTGGCATCAGTCAGATCTCGAGGGCAGCTTTCTCTCGGAGGTGCCCGCAGCATTGCCTGGACACTGAGAAGCGGGGCCTCTGAGGGCAGGACTGAGAGGAGCCATTGATGATCGCAAATCTTGTGGTATCTCCCAGAGCAGGGGTCCTCAAACTACGGCCCGTGGGCCACATGCGGCCTCCAAAAACATTTATCCGGCCTGCCGCTGTGTGCATAAGAATTTGTTCATAGTCTTTTTTTAAACTATAGTCCAGCCCTCCAAAGGTCTGAGGGACAGTGAACTGGCCCCCTTTGTAAAAAGTTTGAGGACCCCTGTCCCAGAGAGATATATTTTTTACAAATGATGAAGATCCAGTAAAAAAAAAAATCACATTGGAGTTTATAACTTTAAACCAGCAAAAACGGGAAATGTGATGGGAGACATCATACAGCAACTTCTTACAATGTGTGTGGGGCATTCCAGGCAAAGGTGAAACTCTCTCAAGGTTTAGGGCTTATTTTCTTGAAAGTTGGAGCCCTATTGAAGGCACCCAGCATTAACCAAATGTTTTACCTTCAGGTTTCTTATGGTTTTTTTTAGAGAGAGAGAGAGAGGAGGGGGGAGAGAGAAACTGTAGACTTCTAAAAAGAAAAACAAAAGAGATAAATTGATTGAACCAGATTTGTCTTAGTAGAGTATTTTGCTCAAATTCACCCATATTTCCAATGACTAATGAAATGACGAGCAAGGTCAAATTCAAATTATTTAAATTCCCCTACAAAATAAGGAAGTAATAAGAATATGCTAAATGAAATCAGCCAGTCAGAGGAAGACAAATGCCATATGATCTCATTTATATATGGAATCTGATGAGAAAAACAAACTGACAAACAAAATAGAACAGAGGCATGGAACATGGGAACAGACTGAGGGCTGTCAGAGGGGAGGGCAGTGGGAGGGGCTGGATGAAAGCAGATAAAAGGATTAGCCAAAGAACATATACGTGTAGCCCATGGTCACAGACAACAATGTGGTGAAGGCTGGGGAGGGGGTGCTGGGAGGAGGTGAGCAGGGAGGGGGGAGATTTGGGGCATCAGTAGTACTGTCAACAATACACATCAAGTTTTAAAAAAGCTTATGTGGTTTATGTCTCCAGAAATAGGAAAATTGCTATTTATCATATAGGCTTTAAATTTGGGGAAAAGAAATTACATGAACTGTTGAAGATATTAAAAATTGTAAGAGTTTATTTGAGCAACAATTGACTCAAATTGGGCTGCACCAAACCCAGAAGAAGTGAGGAGCGCTCCACTGATAGGTGCTGGGGCAGAGACTTTTATACAAAAAAGGCAGGAGCAAAGTAAGGGAATTATTGATTGACAATAGCCTAAAGCCTCGTTGCTTATTTGTAAGTGGTTGCTCTTGGGTTTCCATGTTATAATCTCGAGGCATTTACAGGCTTTGATATAGGTTTGCTTATACTGGTAGAGGCAGCTGTGTCTTTAGAACCATCTCAGTCTAATGACCTCCTTGTTTAATTAATTTAAAAACATTAATATGATTTTCCTCAAAGGGTCCAGGAACAGAGGTAAGTCTAGAACAACTATAGGATCAACAAACAAGGACTGCCTGTGCAATAGCTGGGCCACTCTAGTCCCTCCCATCCCTTAAATCCAAGGAAGACCAGCTGAGGATCTCACACCGAGCCAAAACTGTGTAACTGCTCCCTAGAAGCTGGTGGACTGAATGTGCCAGCCGTCTCATCAGGTAGTTGCTTCTCCTGGCAACTAGCCGCAATCCTGAGGTGCAGTCCAAAGTCACCTCATTCACCCAACAAAAGACACCTTTATCACTAGCATCACATGAAATTCAAAGGGTTTTAGGAGCTCTGTGCTGGATGAAGAGCAAATATATATTTCTTTTATAAACCACAATATCTCAGGTGGGTACATACTTTGGGGTGCTATGTCTTTCTGGTTTATTGCTCCACATATTTTACATAATACCCCTCTTTACCTTTATAATACAGTAGTCCCTCCTTATCCATGGTTTTGCTTTCTGTGGTTTCCATTCCCACATTCCCACAGTCTTGCTCCATCCTGTCCGGGACATAAATGACCCATTTTTTTTAGCATCTCCATATTCTATATGCTCCCTGCTCGTTAGTCAGTAGGTTATCAGATTCACTGTTGTAATATCACAGTGAAAAGGTGAAAGCTGTAGGCTTCAAAAGGAATGCTGAGGTTGCTAAGGTCTGTGGTAAGACAAATCTTCTATTCATGAAATTGAGAAGAAAGAAAAATTATGAATGGTGAGTACAATACAATAAGATATTTAGAGAGAGACCACATTCGCATAACTTATATCACAGTATGTTGTCATAATTATTCTACTTATTTTTAGCTGTTGTTATTGTTAATCTCTGATTATACCTAAATCAGAAATAAACTTTATCATAGGTAGGTAGGTATAAGAAGAAGCATCTATATATATAAAAGCCCAGCAACCAGAATGGCAGAACGACCAGAACAACTGGAATGGCCGGTGGCTATGACATGCACTGTGGCAGCCAACCAGCCTGATCCAGGTCCCGATCAACCGCCAACACCCTGATCAGGGGCGGGACCAGCCAGCCAACTGCCCACAGCCCCTCCCCCCACCAGCCTGGTGGTCAGCATGGATCATAGCTACTGGTCAAATGATCAAACGATCAGACGGTCACTTATCTAATAATAGACAAACATGGTAATTTACCATACCTTCGCTATGCCTCCCATTGGCTGATCAGCGTGATATGCAAATTAACTGCCAACAAAGATGGTGACTAATTTGTACATACAGGCTGGGAGCAAAGACCGAAGACACTGTAGAAGGAAGCCAAGCAAGGGAGCCATGGTAGCAGAGATGGGCGGGAGAGAAGAGGCAGAGAAGGGCGGGGTAGCAGAGGCAGAGAAGGGTGGGATAGGAATGGCAGAGATGGAGTGAAGCCCTATTCTTGCAGGAATCTTCCTGCAACGGACTTCTAGTACAGTGATGGCGAACCTATGACACGCGTGTCAGAGGTGACACACGAACTCATTTTTTTGGTTGATTTTTCTTTCTTAAATGGCATTTAAATATATAAAATAAATATCAAAAATATAAATCTTTGTTTTACTATGGTTTCAAATATCAAAAAATTTCTATATGTGACACGGCACCAGAGGTAAGTTAGGGTATTTCAAAAAGATGACACGCTGAGCTCAAAAGGTTCGTGATCACTGTTCCAGTATATATATACAGTTCTTTGGTTTATCTCTTCTCATCCCCTGAACCCCATATCCAGGTATGTCAGTCTGTTCCATGCCTCCCTTTTTGGGTCTTATTTTGTTGGCTTATTTCATTTACCATAATATATTCAAGGTCCATCCATGCTGTCCCAAAGGGTAAGACATCCCTCTTTTTTACAGCTGTATAGTATTCCATAGTGTAAGTGTCTCACAGCTCTTTTAGTCACTCGTCTACTGATGGGCACTTGGGCTGTTTCCAAATTTTAGCTATTGTAAATAACACTGCTATGAACATAGGGTGCATATGTTTTTTCTGATTGGTGTTTTGGGAATTTTAGGATATATTCCCAGAAGTAGGATTGCTGGGTCAAATGGAAGTTCCATTTTCTATTTTTTGAGGAAATTCCATACTGCTTTCCACAGTGGCTGCACCAATCTGCATTCCTACCAACAGTGCACAAGGGTTCCCTTTTCTCCACATCCTCGCCAGCACTTGTTGTTTGTTGATTTTTTGATGATAGCCATTCTGACAGGTGTGAGGTGATATTTCATATGGTTTTAAATTGCATTTCTCTGATGATTAGTGACTGAGCATTTCTTCATCTGTCTCTTGGCCATCTGTATGTCCTCTTTGGAGCAATGTCTGTTCAGGTCTTCTGTCCATTTTTTAATCAGGTTGTTTCTCTTCTTTTTGTTGAGTTGTATGAGTACTTTATATGTCTTGGATAGTAACCCCTTATCAGATGTATCATTGGCAAATATGTTCTCCATTCAGTGGGTTCCCTTTTGATGGTGGTTTCTTTTGCTGGGCAGAAACTTTTATGTTGATGTAGTCCCATTTGCTTATTTTCTCTTTAGTTTCCTTTGCCCTAGAAGATGTATCTGTAAACATATTGTTATGTGAGATGTCTCAGATTTTACTGCCTATGTTCTCCTCTAAGATTTTTATGGTTTCATGCCTTACATTTAAGTCTTTTATCCACCTTGAGTTTTTTCTGTGTATGGTGTAAGTTGGTGATCTAGTTTCATCTTTTTGCATGTGTCTGTCCAGTTATTCCAGCACCATTTGTTGAAGAGACTGTCTTTACCCCACTGTATGTTCTTGCCTCCTTTGTCAAATATTAATTGACCATGATGGTGTGGGACAATTTCTGGGGTCTCTATTCTTATCCATTGGCCTATATGCCTGTTCTTGTGCCAGTGCCAGGCTGTTTTGGTTATAATGGCTTTGTAGTATAGTTTTGATATCTAGTATTACGCTCCCTCCTACCTCATTCTTCTTTCTCAAGATTACTGCAGATATTCGGGGTCTTTTATGGTTTCAATATCAAGTTTTGGAGTATTTGTTCTAGCCCTTTGAAGTATTTATTCTAGCTCTTTGGAGTATGTTTTGCCCTAGAGAGGGCCTGCCTGTCACAGCTGGAAGGGGTGACAGCTTTCTACCACTGAAGAACTGCTTAGGTGAATCCTACCAAGTTTATAAAATTCCTTATTGACCTACAGTGTCTGGAATAACAGAAGTTTACAAATTTGAATATGAATACAGGTACTTCAAACCTATACTATAAGAAGCTCCTTCAGAAGTGATGTCTTTAGAAATTTTAAGGAAGTAGCACCATCTGCTGGGTGAGAATGAAAAGAAAATGTGAAGAATTTGTTTCTTAAGAAATGTGTAACTGTGGGCACTTTTAAAAATTATTATTGTCACCAAATAGCTATTGCATACTTACAGTGCTTGGAGCTAGGCCAGTGGAGGTGAACAGTATGTCAGCATTCTTGCTTAACTCCTCCATTTTGGAGGGTTATGACCCAGATTTTGTGTATGATTTTGTGCTTTGTAGTTGTAATTACAGTAAACAATTTTATATTTAGCTTTTTCACTTAAGTCATTTGCTCTTATCCACTTGTTACATCACTAAAGTTTTAAAAAGCAATAGAATATATGCTTATAGTAAAAATAAAAATTATTTTTAATGTTTGCAAAAAATAAAATAATGAAATAAAAATTATTATTGTCATAGATATAATCAAGTTTCCAAATAGAAGCTTTTTGAGAACTTGGGAATGGAGACCTGTGAAATGAAATCCTTCTCAGAAAACAGAGACAAATAGAGGGTGTGTGTCTTTTCACATGACCATTTCTGATGGATGGCTGCTCACATGCAACCCAGGTAAATGAAAGCGGCTTTTGGTAATGATGAGAGGGTTGTTTATAACCTGAAAATATCATTATCAAAGAACTAACTGTCTTGGTAATTTTAGAAAGTTTACGCATACGAGGCCAAGCCTGAGTGTAGGCCTCCAATTCACTTAGTACTGATTAGCAAAAGGCCAGCAGGAGCCCATGGTCACATGTACTTATTGGCCAGTGTTAACATAAGAAATATCCCAACCTGTAATAGAATTTTTAGGAGTTAATTTGAGCCAAACTGATAACATATGTTGAGAAGCAAAATCTCAACAGATTCAGTAAATGCTCCAGGGAATGGCAGTTTTGCAGCTTATTGTACATTAGAATTAAACAAAGAAGGAGACCTAAGTAAGGTTACATGTAATCTATTGGTGGTAGGGTAAGGGAGTGGGAGAAAACTTAGCAAAAAATCTTTAGGACTAGATAAAAAGCAAAACAGAAAAGCACTTACTTCTTTTACATTGGGAGGGGGATGCTAGATAGTTAATAATTAATGTTTACAGCACATAGGAGCAAGATAGCAATGAGGGGTTCTGTGCTCTCATATTCTTCTGGTCTTGTGTTCTGGTGCAGTTGTCTGTGCCTCCTAGGGGTAGGAAAAGAAATTTACCGTGACATTTCAAAGGTATGTTATCCTAGACACATAAGAGCAATGGACAGAGCTCACTTAAGGTCAAGATTGACTTTGCTAGGCTAGATTAGCACCTCCCTAGAGGACAGAAGTTCTCTCACTGCTGACACAGCTGATTCTCATAGCCACTTGGCCTGGAGGTCAAACCCTCCCTGGAATTAGCTACAACAATCAAGGTTTAACTATAAGACTGCGCACAAAGACCACTAGGGGGTGCACCAAGGAAGCATAACAAAATGCGGAGACAAAGAAACAGGACAAAATTGTCAATGGAAGATATAGAGTTCAGAACCACACTTTTAAGGTCTCTCAAGAACTGTTTAGAAGCTGCCGATAAACTTAATGAGATCTACAAGAAAACTAATGAGACCCTCGATCTTATATTGGGGAACCAACTAGAAATTAAGCATACACGGACTGAAATAACGAATATTATACAGACTCCTGACAGCAGACCAGAGGAGCGCAAGAATCAAGTCAATGATTTGAAATGCGAGGAAGCAAAAAACACCCAACTGGAAAAGCAAAATGAAAAAAGAATCCAAAAATGCGAGGATAGTGTAAGGAGCCTCTGGGACAGCTTCAAGCGTACCAACATCAGAATTATAGGGGTGCCAGAAGATGAGAGAGAGCAAGATATTGAAAACCTATTTGAAGAAATAATGACAGAAAACTTCCCCCACCTGGTGAAAGAAATGGACTTACAGGTCCAAGAAGCGCGGAGAACCCCAAACAAAAGGAATCCAAAGAGGACCACACCAAGACACATCATAATTAAAATGCCAAGAGCAAAAGATAAAGAGAGAATCTTAAAAACAGCAAGAGAAAGAAACTCAGTTACCTACAAGGGAATACCCATACGACTGTCAGCTGATTTCTCAACAGAAACTTTGCAGGCCAGAAGGGAGTGGCAAGAAATATTCAAAGTGATGAATACCAAGAACCTACAACCAAGATTACTTTATCCAGCAAAGCTATCATTCAGAATTGAAGGTCAGATAAAGAGC